CCAGTGGTCTAGATTCTAGGAGCTCCGGTCCAGAATAGTAACTTCCCTGACTTGGGGGCCTCATAATAACTCACCCAGAGTTTAGCTTTTGACCAATTTATTTTCAGTAGAATCCATAGGATTATTCTGTTTTTTGGAAATTGAATCATTTTGATTTAAATAGTGGTACAATATAGTAAGTGTGGTGTAGTGGATAGAGTAATGGACCAGGACTCAGGAGACCTGGGTTCGATTCCCCAGCTCTACCATGGAAACTCAAGGAGGGTGAGATGGGACTGGTAAAACCACTCCTTAAATACATTACTTACTGTAAAAATCTTATTAGAGTTGGTATAAATCAGTTCTGACTTAACAGCACGCCCCTTCGCCACGACAAGGCAGAAATCCATGAAGGAGGACTTAACAGCACATAACTGCAAAATGATGAAAAGGCTAGAACATTACATTGGACATGAGGAAGAAGCCAGAAAGCTGCCTCAAAAGAGTGACATTGGCGCAATATTCTTTATCTATGCTGATCTACAGAATCAATCCAGCCAAAAAACTTGGATCATCAGAATACTGCGCAAACGACAAGGCAGAAATCCATGAAGGAGGACTTAACAGCACATAACTGCAAAATGATGAAAAGGCTAGAACATTACATTGGACATGAGGAAGAAGCCAGAAAGCTGCCTCAAAAGAGTGACATTGGCGCAATATTCTTTATCTATGCTGATCTACAGAATCAATCCAGCCAAAAAACTTGGATCATCAGAATACTGCGCAATCCTAGCTTTATACAAGGATTGTTATTGTGCTTCAGCATCTGAAGCTAAGTTGTATACAATAGTAAAAGCATAGCATGTAGTTACGCCTCACTTTCTTTTTTATTTCCAAATCCACATGCAAATGCCTGGTCTGGATTGGGGCCAATGCACAAAGGTAAGGGGATTTAAACTGCTCACCAACCCCTTCTTCTTAAATTTCTTCCCAGAATGCCAATATATGTTGTAATTTTGGCAAACCATGATTTGGTGGAACTACCTTAAAACTAACTGATACTCTTAATAGGGCTTAGGGATTCCAAGCTATGCCAGGATTATGCATAGTGTTCCCATAAAAGCTGTGTATCGCCATGCAAAATTAACCTGTGCATAAATCTGATGCAGTTCTAAGTCAGAATTGATCTAAAGATTCATGACAACTGAACAACAAATACTGTTTTGGATTTCCTTCACCGATTCCATCAGGTTTTTTTTTTAAGTGAGGTATACACAAATGTGTTAATCCCCAGATTATCTCCTATGTGGAAACTACATTTAGTCTATAGTTGCATGTTTTTTCTACCATGCATTGAGTGGAGGAACCTCTAAACATGGAGTCATGCCCTACTTCCTCAGATATTGTCGTTTTTTTGCAAAGCTCCATACAGTCAATCAAATTCCTGTTTTCCAAAGATTTTCTTTCTGCTCTTTAGTCATATGACTGACAGGATGGCAGATTGCCTATAATCCTCCTCCATAGCCAAGAGTTTGCTAACATTTGCCATCTCCTCTCCTACTATCTATGGTGGTCAAAGAGTAGAACAGTTTTAATTATTAGTGTATTTACACACACACACACGCATGCACGCACACCATCAGTAACCCAAAGAACAATGGGGGGGCAAGTACAATAAAATGTAAATTCAACTAGGGGTACAATGGGGACGTAGAGAGGAAAGTGATGCAATTTCATGGGTTTAAAAAGGGAAATAAAAATAAGTAGAGTAGAGTCTCTCTAGGGAGGAGAAGGAATGTCTTTAATAGCCTATAAGGCTTTACAGAAAGGTTCCTTTTGCTTGCCAGGTGCTTGATACTAAAGGAAAGAAAACATTTTTTATCCCACTCTGGGCTGTTTTAATCAGGTGTGTGTGTGTATGTATGCGTGCGCATGTATGCGTGTGTGAAATAAGGCAGTGCACTTTAAAACTTCACAGGAAGAGAGTTAACATATAATTGGCAGAGGAAAGAGGAAATTTCAAATTAAATAGTGGAGACATTAATGGGCTTGGGAATATAGTGTTGGAGAAAGCAATTGTTGCAATTTTTGTTTTTAATCTGATGATATACGATTCCACCAAATCTAGAAGGGCTTAGTTCACCATTGTCAAGTTGAAGTAGCACACATTCAAAGGATTTAATGTAGCATAAATTCAGAGTAAGCTTTTCATTTCCACCAGGGCATTTCAGATACCTTTGCCATTCAATGTCATGTTAAATATAGGTAAAATATATGGTACATTCATTTGCTGGGCTTTAGGCATAAAGCACTGTTGAAGGTGGCTCTCAAGAACAATTTTTCAAAATGAAATCACAGTAAATTTGGGTCTGTTTTGCAGGAACAGAGAAGCATTTAATAAGATAAACTGATCTGTTGCCCACTGTCTCCGTCAACAGGATTGCTTAAGAATAAGCAGGAGTAGATGAGATTTAACAAACATTTAACAAAGTGGAATTTCCTTTCCAGCTCTTTCAAAAAAATGCTGCTTAACAGCAATTGTGTATGACTGTGATATTATTGCTAGCACTGGCATGTTACAAGGGATTATTAATCTGACATATAGTCATCACTTGTGAGTAAAGTAGGAGAAAAAGTGCTTCAAAAACACATGAATGGTAGCCAGAAAACTGTAGATGAGACCCAAAGGAGACCACAATATATGCCCACACCATATGTAAAATGTACATATTACATACGTCTTTTGTACCCAGGTTTGATTTTAAAACCTGTTTGTAACTAAATTGATGTGACATTTTTACAAGCAACACTAAACCTGGTCCTTAGCTTCTAATGTATCACTTCTGTATACAGCCAATGTAACACAGAAAGCAGACAGGTATCATTTTTAGATGGTAGATCAAGTTTGCATCTGAAAGGCTAATAGTACAATCTAATATTATGTCTGCTCACAAGTAAGTCCACTGCATTGAATAAGACTTACTCTCAAGCGACATACAAGAGTCCTATATACAGTACTTTTATCTGGGAAGACATCCTTCACAAGTCAATGGGGCTTACTTCAGACTAGACACATACTAGGACTGCAACCAGATATATGGGGAAAAAAGTCACAGAGATATTGAGTGCAACAGAATGTCCTGACACACTGAGACAACCTTTCTCAAAACTTGCCCAAATAGTGAGACATGTTTTTCTTAAGGTTTTCTGCATTTTGTGCTAAATGTCTCTGCACTTAAGCTCCCCATTGAAACAAAGCAAGCACAAAAAGACTTGTTGAATGATCACAAAGATACCTCCAACCCGTGGTAGCTCTTCTAACAGTCAATGGAACAAGGCAAAATTAGTGCATTCTTCAATTTTATGCCTTTTGCCAAAAATCAGAAAATTAATCTTTAAAAATATGCAAAATATCTCAGAAACTAGAAAAACAAATCTTGCCATCTTATGGTAGGGTTTTGTATACTGTATGTGTTGTCTTGTTTACTGCACAAATGAACAAAGTAAGGATTCACATCAGTAGATTTAATCTGTTGTGGCATTAGCTTATAATCAATATAAGAAAATCAACCCTCCTGAATCAAACATCACACAATAGATATTCCTTGCTTTTAATTCTTGTCTTCTTTCTCCATCTCATTCCACTAGCCTATTTCAAAGGTTACGTAGCCTTGTTCCACAGTATAATCATGGTAACTACTACAGCCTTGGTATCTATGAACAAAACTCCCTGAACCAATTGGCATCTAATCTCACACATGCAACTGGATGTACTCTTGTCTAAATGTATGCCACTTCCAATATAAACATACATTTCCTTTTATACTTTATGCATGTCACAGTAGAATGTACAGTGGTGTCTCGACTTATGAACGTCCCAACATACGACCATGTCGAGTTACGACCAGCTCTGGACGCAAACTTTTGCTTTAACTTGCAGCCAGAGGTTCCAGTTACGAACAGAAAAAGGCAAGGAAAAAAGGCGGGGAATTCAAATTGCTAAACATTGGTGGCGAAGAGGCTGCTTCTTTGTAGCTCTTTTGCCCCAGCAGTTAGACAGTGTGCGATCAGAGGAGGCTTCAGAGAGCCTAGTAAGGTAAGGTGCTGCTTTTTGTCTTTTAAAAACTGTTTCCAATGGGTCTTGCGGGGTTTGTTTGCTTTCTGGAGTTTTCCACCCCCATTTCTGATGGGTCTTGCTGGGTTTGTTTGCTTTTTGGGGGGTTTTTCCCCATTTCCGATGGGTCTTGTGGGGTTTGTTTGCTTTCTGCTTTGCTTTTTTTTTTCATTCCCGATGGGTCTCGTACGGTTTGTTTACTTTGCTTTGCTTTCCAATGGGTCTTGTGGAGTTTGCTTTTGGGTCCCCCCCCCCCTATTTCCGATGGGTCTTGTGGGGTTTGTTTGCTTTCTGCTTTGCTTTTTCCCCCTTCGGCCGGAACAGATTAATTGTGTTTCCAATGGGGCTTGCAGTGGGGTTTTTTGTGATTTTTCTCTTGTGGAGTTTGCTTTTGGGTTCCCCCCCATTTCCGATGGGTCTTGTGGGGTTTGTTTGCTTTCTGCTTTGCTTTTTTTTTTCATTCCCGATGGGTCTCGTACGGTTTGTTTACTTTGCTTTGCTTTTTTCCCCTTCAGCCGAAACGGATTAATTGGGTTTCCAATGGGGCTTGCAGTGGGGGTTTTTTGTGATTTTTTTCCCTTCAGATTAATTGCATTTCAATACATTCCTATGGGAAATGGCGCTTCGATTTATGACCATTTCGAGTTACGATCGGAGTTCTGGAACCAATTAAGTTCCTAAGTCGAGGCACCACTGTAGAAGATATGAACCATGGCAGGGAAGGCAACTCATGATCTTCAGATGTTGTTAAACATCAATTTCCACCTAGCCACAGTGAGTTGTGATGAGAGTTGTATTTCATCAACATGCCTGACCTATAGCAGCAGACCTCTTGACCCAACTCTGCATTTGTTCTACAGCATGACATCTTTATTTTCATCTGAAAGATCTTGACATTTCTCACCTGCAACAGATAACAGCTTTGCATGATAACGCGAGGTCCAGGAAGGACTGTCGGACTTCAAAAGAAAGGGCATACTTCAGAGTCTGGCCATCAATAATCAAGGCAATGTCGTTTTCTTTGCCTAGTGAATCACCCAGGTTTGCACAGTGCTGGGTGAGAGCCGCTCTTGTTGCCTACAAAGTGCACACAAAGAGAGAGAAGAATGCTACATTTTAGTATCATCTCACTATCCCTGCAAACCATGGTAGTGAATAATAATGAGCGAGGCCTAAATCCAAACGACTAGAAAATTTCTGAAGGACATATCACATTCTCAATTCCTGTTGTTTTCCAGGCCTATTATTACTGAAATATTGGCAATCATGTCATTAGATTCTAACATATGACTGTTTTCACATTTATATTTTTACCCTCTTTATGTTGCCAAACTATAAGTAAAGCAAATATTACATCATGATCATCACCTTAGAACTGAAGAGCTGGAAGGGACCCTATGGATTGAGCCCAGCTCCTGTCAAGGAGACACAGTGGTGAATCGAACTCCCAACCTCTGGCTCCATAGTTAGATACCTGGACCACTGAGCTACCCAGCAGTTCTATTACTTCTCTAAGAAACCCTTATAAAGAAAGGAAAAGTAGAGTGGCTTTAAAATTAGGGGCACAGCGTATACCTGATGGAAGCCCTCTTAGTTCATTCAAGTCATTGGGTACACAGCGGACCCAGTCATTGAAATTTAGGTAAAGGTAAAGGTTCCCCTTGACAATTTTTTGTCCAGTCGTGTTCGATTCTAGGGGGCGGTGCTCATCCCTGTTTCTAAGCCATAGAGCTAGCGTTTGTCCGAAGACAATCTTCCGTGGTCACATGGCCAGTGCGACTTAGACATGGAACACTGTTACCTTCCCACCGAGGTGGTCCTTATTGATCTACTCGCATATGCTTTCGAACCGCTAGGTTGGCGGGAGCTGGGACAAGTGACGGCAGTTCACTCCGTCACGTGGATTCGATCTTACGGCTGCTTGGTCTTCTGACCCTGCAGCACAGGCTTCTGCGGTTTAGCCCGCAGTGCCACCACGTCCTTGTCATTGAAATTTGGTTGATATGTAATCCTAGTATAGTAATCTGTGCTTCTTTCCAACCCAAAAGCTACCTAGACATTACTTATGGGCACAACAGTGTACAGACTGTGGACCAAATCCAATGTTAGTTTTCCTCCCAGAGCAGACCCAATCAAATCAAAAACTTACATAAGTGGTGACCAACAAATCACATTCATTTCACTGAGTGTATTCTAATTGGGACTAAGGTAGATTTAGCACTTGTCCAAGATATGTTCTTTTCCACACAAAGTATAAAATGTAATGAATATGCACATATTCATTCATACATGCATGGGTTTATGGAGGCAGAGGCAGACGCAGAGAGGGGGAATGAGAGAGAGTATGTGCGCTATTATAAACGTGGGCACAAAGAAACCCTAACATTTGGTTCTTTTAACACTGATTTGTACATCAGCCTTGGAACTCTATAATGTGGGCTGCTGAACCTGAAGTGTTTTTGTGTTGTTGCTAATTTTAAGCAGTTGTGTAAAATTACTCTTGCTTGGTATTTTAATTTGAATCTAGTGCTAATTTTAAAATGTATATCATTGTTTTAACTTCAGCTGGATTGTACTACAATTACAGTTTTATTCTTTGCATATAAGCTGCACTAAGAGGGGTGGTGTAGAAATCTTTAAAAGAGAATTAAAGAAACAATGGCATCATATACCACATTGTTGAAGCATGGCACACTCCTGTGCAGGATCCCAACCAGCCTGCCATTATTATTCACATGGCTTAAAATTGGGGTGAAAAGCCGCAACATTCTATCTGTGTGCTGTTATTATATACAGTAGAGATGGGAACTACTCAGAGATACCTTGCAGTTGTGGCCAGGTATATATTGGAACCAAAAAACGCAGCATCCACACCAGAATCAGAGAACATGAGAGACACTGCAGACTAAAACAACCAGAAAAATCAGCAGTTGCTGAACATGACCTAAAACAAGCTGGACATGAAAGTCTATTTCAAAATACTGAAGTACTGGACAACACCAGCAAGCATTATGTTAGACTGCACTGGGTAGCTACTGAAATCCATAAATACCAGCAGAGCTTCAACAAAAAAGAAGAAAGTCTAAAACTTAACAAGGCCTGGCTCCCAGCACTGAAAAAAAGCTGACCCACCCACCCCCACAGCCTGCTCCCCCACCCGTTGCCTCCCTACCTTGGCAGCAGTCACCACTTCCCCCCACTGTTGCCATCTCCAGCTGGCCTCTGCCGCTATGGTCTGCAGTAATGCACACTGGCTGCCCTTTGCAAAGATGGCGGCTGCAGCTTCATTTAGGGTAGGGAAGTTGCAGCCTCCATCTTCACAAAGGGCAGCCTGGATTCCCTTAAGGCAGGCTACGGGAATCCAGGTTGCCCTTTTCAAAGATGGCACCCTATCCTATCCTAATTGAAGCCACAGCCACCATCTTTGCAAAGGGCAGCCAGTGTCCCTTACTGCAGGCCATGGCTGTGAAGGCCACCGCAGCAGGTAGCGATGGATGACGGCGGCACTGGGTGGTGGCAGATGGTGGCAGTGATTAAGGTAGGGATTGGAAGGGAGCAGTGGTAGGCTGTGGAGGTGGGTGGCTGCCTATCGGCCTGCCAATCAACTGATCGGCGGGCCAGTAGGCACAATGGAAAAGCCATAGGATGACTCTTTTTTTCTTCATATGGGGGATGAATAAAAATAGAGAAATATTCATTAAGCTGCATTTGTTGGGACTTAAAATTTCACAAATATGGATTGACGAATATATGACAAATTGGCTATATTGTCAAAAAAACTGATCCGTTTTTATATTCATCCCTCTCTCTAATGTACAGTCAAGCTATTTCTAATTTATGGAGACTATATGCATCAATGGCCTCCAAAAGAAAGGACTGATCATTAAGAGTCCTGTCCACTTGTATAAGTATACAGTAGTTTATCATTATCTTGATGGCATTAAAAACTAATAAATTCACATTTCATTTAAACTGAGAATTGTTCTCATGACAGTTGGCACCTCCTTTTAATATTTATCACAGATGGCAAAATGTGGTCAAGAGCCACATGCAGTCCACCTAGGCTGGTTTGTTGTTATTTGTGGCCCCTGGAAAACCTCTGTCAAAAAATTTTCTGCAAAAAAACAAAAATCATTTTCAGCTCCCAGAACCCTCTAGGAGAGGTGGCTGTGCAGTAAAATGGGGTGCAGGCTCCCTAAACTGAAATGGATGCCCACAAAAATAAAACTAGAGGTACTGATTTTATTTACTGGTTTTAATATAAAGTAGTAGTAGTTATTGTTATTGTTATTGTTATTGTTATTATTTCTAGCAATATTTATAAATGTTGTTCATTTTCAAGCCTGCCATGGTCCCCGATAGATCCTGAGGGTAGGAAATTGGTCCTCAGACCTCCAAAGTTTATCATATATAACATATACCGAAATACTAATTGAAATAAATAGATTTTAATTCCTATTAAGTCTAAGATCTTCTGGTTTCACTAGTACACATTTTCAACCACAGGTAATTATATGCTTGAACTGCAAGCATATCATTACTACTGAAATCTAAATAAATTGGGTAGATTCCAATCCAGTCTGTATCTAAACCATTATCAATATTCAGCTAACAAGAGAAATAAATCTATCCCTAGACAGAAAGGTCTTGCTTCGTCTGCTAAATACATCTATGTATTTGTGCTCAAGAAGATCCCCTTTTATAATGCTCCAGGTTGCAGGTAATAGGTACAAAATACGAACAAGACTGGAATGGGATTATATTAGTCAGGAATAAAAACACTATATTTATGTCCAATTGTAATCTTTGACTGTTTTATGGGCTCACATTCCTTCAGGGAAAAATCACATATCTACAAGAACTTATTATGGATTACAGCATTTTCTATTTCATCTCTGATTTGACAAACAGATGTAAGGGAGGGAATATAGATAAGCTATTTAATACAGACAACACAGCTGCAGGTACTAGACAGAGTTGCCGTAGTTGAATATTACATGGTGTCTGAGACAAAGGCCTTAAGCAGCCAACTTCTGTACATTACTTCCTGTACCAGTGCTCTTGGCCTCTTAACTGGATTAAGTTCTGTCAGCTGAGCACCCATCCTGAGGGAGGGCATCTTCCTTCTTCGTTGAGATGGGCTGGCAGTCTGAACAAAGCATCCCATTGGGTAACAACAGACTTACTCGCATTGCCAATCTGTTAATTAGGCGAAAGATTTATGCGATCTGAAGAGAAACCAGAGTATGCCAATCTGTTAATTGACCTCCATTCTGCTTGTCACTACAGCACCATGCAGGCATCATGCCTCAGAATGTAGATAGGGCTAAAAGACTGTAGGGATACCCTTTCTTATCAGAGATCCTGCTCAAGAGAGTTTTTCATGTGCATTCAGTCAAATGTATTTAGAAAACTCTATTTATTTATTTATAACATTTTTATGCCACCTTTCTCCTTAAGAAGGAGCCAAGACATCTTACATCACTGAGAGAAAATATTTAATCATTACACAACAATGGTCTACATGATTAGAAGACAATATTTAAAGCTAAGAACAATGAGTATAAAATTTGGAAGTTGAGTCATGGCAACTGGACTTCTTTCTTATTAGTTTGAAACGTTTTGCTACTCATCCAAGTAGCTTCTTCAGACTGAGGAGAAGTGGTAGGAGACCCCTGATATATCCTCCACATTGGTTTCACTTCCCCCTAGTCTGAATAGGCTCGTTATAAGGATAAAGGACTGGGGGTAAGGCATAATATCACTTCTGTAGTCCTTCTCCACCCATTGTCGTTAACGGTCATTAACAGTGGTCTTTCTGTTGTGTGTGGTCCTAAAATGTTTCAACCTATCCTGTTTCTCCAAAAATAAGACCTAACCTGCAAATAAGCCCTAATATGATTTTTCAGGATGTTTGTAATATAAGCCCTAGCCCAAAAATAAGCCCCAGTTAAGTGAAACCCCGCCTTCCACCACTGTGAAGAAACCAGAAGAAGATGACACGACTGTATTTGAATAAATGTAGATTGTTGTAAATCAAAAATAAAACATCCCCTGAAAATAAGCCCTAATGTGTT